ACTTCTATATTCTACAAAAAAAACTCTTTAAAATGCAGTAATTGCAAGAAAATATTTGATCACGTTATGGTAAATAAAGGCTAAATTACACACATTTATATGGAATTACAAAATGTTCCTCACAGTGAAAAAGGTACACTCTATGATGTTCAAACTGTGGGGATCAGTCATCCAATGAGGAGTACTTTGAATAAAGTTGCATAACCAGCACTGTCACCAAATTTTTACCTGGCCTTTCTGTGATCTCCCAAATGAGATTCAGAGGAAGAAGGAAAAAGCAAACCAAGTTATCAGGCTCCACTCAGAGGCAGAGAAGGCTGGCAGCCCTGTCAATGCACTGGCATATGTAGAGCCTTCACTATCCTATGCAGGTCCTATAGAACATGAGGAAAATACAGAGGAACTTCATCCTAGTGATCCAGCATGACATACTGGATGGAAGTTTGGACTATGACTGTGGAAACTAAAATTCAAATCCTGGCTTGGCCATGTAAACCACTGGGTAACTTTGGGCAAGTCACAATCTCTCAGTCTCAGAGGATGGCAATGGAAAAACCCCTCTGAAGAAATTTGCCAAGGAAATCCCATGACAGGTTCACCTTAGGGTTGCCAAAAGTTGGAAACAACTTGAAGGCACACAGCAACAACAAGCAACAAACTTCATTCTATGCAGCATCCGAGATTAAAATGCCACCTGCAAAGGAACAGGAAAAGCCCTGATGCACTTTAAAAGGAAAGCGCTGAACTATTTAGGCCAGCTAGGTTGATTATTACTTCCAACAATCAACTCCAACACTCCCTGTCTGACCCTGTCTGATGTCTTTGGCTTTCTGGATCTCTGAACTTTGGCATGTACCTCGATCTGGACCCTTTTCAGCACTGCTTTTCACATTTGGACCTCAGACTGTCTGGATCATTCTTCTGTTTCCACAGTGCATGTTTTCTTGTTTTCTCCACTGTCTGTTTCTGTGAAGTATAGGTGCACTTGCTTGGGCACTTGCCAGCTTTAAACAGGTAATTGCTGCATTTTAAACATTAAAAAAAATAAGGCTCCACGTGGGGCACATGTTTGAACCCCCACATTTAAAAATTGGGGTTGGGGTGCTATAATACTTCCACTACCCTTCATCTGGATTGGGCCCTGCTTTAGCCACCTTGAATCCCATTTTGGTTGAAAGGTGGGATATAAATCCAACAAACAAATAAATAAATAAATATCAAAGGGGATCTTTCTTCCTTTCTTTGCTAACATGGGGTGCCAATCCTGACTATAAGGTTACCCCCACCAGCCAATGATAATTCAGGCCCCAAGGTTGAGGAAGGAGGCAGCCTGGAATGTAAATGCAGTAGCAATAGCAATAGAAATAGAAATAGCATTTACATTTCTATAATGCTTAATTGTAAACTCAGCACTCTTAAGTGGTTTACAATCTGTAAGTCAATTGCCCCCTACAAGCTGGGTATTCGTTTTACCAGCCTACAAAAGGATGGAAGGCTGAGTCAACCTTGGAGCCCAGGAATCAAACTCACAACATTGTGGCGGCAGTACCAGTATTTAACCACTGTGCCACCAGGGCTCCTAACTGGGTTTGGAGGCATTGCCAGCAAATATGAATTCTGCCTCCTCAATTTAATTTTTTTTCAGTCTTTCGGTCCCCAAATATCTAGCATCGCAGTAACTTAAAACATCAGTTGAGCATTTAGAATACAGTTTAGACATCCAAAGAAAAGGAGCAGGAAAAGTGATCAACGAGTGAGAACACATCGATAGAAGAATTCTATGTGAATGATTTCAACCTTCTGCAATGCTAGAGATGTGAGGTCTTATGAAAAATTTAATATGGGTGTCATTCTTATTGAGGGGCAATGCACTCACTTTGCCCTTCCATAGTTATAACCCTGGAGCCAAGAAAGACCAGTAGCAATGAAAGATCAAGATGGCACCAGAAAAAAATAAGACACGCCCTATGGTCTATATATTGTTCATTAATTTGTAACAAAAACAGCCCATTAGAGTAGCAATATGTCATTGTTTTTTAAAGTATGGCATTGCTAATTACAAAAAAATAAAAAAATAAAAATCAATTTGGCCATGACTAAACTACAGCTCTAACTCCTGCCATTGCCAGGATAAAAGTACAGCACGCTGTAAAGCAAAGTAGCCAAGCTGTCAATCACAATTCCCAAGAGCCTCAGAAACACTCTAAAATGTAGCACAGGGCTAAGGCATTATGCAATAATGAATGGCAAGTACATCAGTAATAACTCCCTTGGGATTCAGGAAGGTGTGGCCAATAATGAGAGATGCAGAGATTATTCATGTCTGCTGGGATTTGGATAATGTCCTGATAAATACTTAGATAGACAAACAGAATCCTTCCAGCTCTCTCTGCAAATCCCATAAATGCAAGATTTATTTATTTATTTTTATAATCATATTCTTGTACAGCTTTTGCTACTTTCCCATAGTAGCATTCTAACTTCTTTGTCCAAAATCCCAGGGGGTTTCAGTTTGCCTGAATAGAAGCAGCAGCCAGGATATGTATGTAAATGGTCATTGGATTATGTATTGCTCTCACAGTCCTTGTGGGACCTGGAAGATAGTGTAGCAAAAAGCAGGCATTAATAGAGCAAGATTTTGTCTCATTTTAATAAACAAGCTAAGCGTTGGGGTGAAAAACTCATATCTGCAGCTTTCTGCAATCCTGAGCATCATCAAATAGATGTATTTCTTCTATATAGACACCAAAAACTTAAGAGTTTTCTCTGTACCTTCCCAAATCTAAAAACCAGGGCCTGATAGCTAGTGGTTTCCCTGTCATTGCTTTGAGAAATCTGTACTAGGTTTTAAGCTTAAAGGATCTGTCCAAAGTGCTGAATTATATGCCACGGATAGGTTCAATGCCCTGGAGAACTCTGTTTAAAAAATTCAAATTGAAAGCTGTGGTGCAGTGGTTCCCAGCCATTAATCCTCCATATGATTTAGACTTCAGTGCCCATAATTCCTGGCTGTTGGCCAAGTTGGCTAGGGCTTCTGGGAGCAGAAGTCCAAAACAAATGGAAACCACTGCTGTAATAAACTAGTGGTGTTGAAGCCTTCATCTCTCAAAGAAATTGGGGAAGGATCTGTATGTACAAGAACAATGTGAAAATTGTCACCCCAAATTCTTAACTAAATTTGCAGGCAGCAGAACAGAGTGTATCATTTTGAAATAGATAGATAGATAGATAGATAGATAGATAGATAGATAGATAGATAGATAGATAGATAGAAGCATCAGTAAGTGCATTGGCAGCTTGGACACCATTTTGTTTCCTTCAGACTGCCGAGGCCTAGTATTGTTGTGTGGCATTGTGGAATTTTTTTCCTAGAAAGGAGTGAAAATTGTCTCCTTCCTCAAGTGAAGGAGGAGTGGAAGAAAATTCTCAGTCATTTTCTTTTCTTGGAAAAATATCTTCATATTTTCATGATCAAATATCTTCATGATCAAAGCATGACAAAATTACCCCACACACAACACTTCCTAAGGGCATTTGGGGACATTTGGGGGCAATCCCCCAATTGTCAGATGACCCCCCCCCCCCTGAACAAAATATGCCCTATCCTGCTCTACATTGTCCTTATTTCTGGCTTTCCAAAATAGACTGACAACATATCTGTTCCCAATGCTGTCATTCTAGAATTTGTGGTAGACATGCAATGAAAGCAGTACTCAAATGGGCTGCACTTATGTTGCAAATAGTGGCCTCTCCATTTAGCAGAGGCGTTTCTTGCTAACTGTCCAAAACCACTTTATCAGATGGAGTTTTTAGCTGTTATTTCTCATGAGCAACAGTCCAGTACTAAATTCCATCCAAAAGCACAAGACTAATGAGAACTTAATACACAGTAATGAGGACTGCATATTATGCTGATGGAAATTGCTTATTTTCCATCCCAGATTCCTTGTGGATTTCCAGATTTGCTCCTTTCCTCTTAATGATCAGCTATCATTTCCCATGGAACTGGCAGAGGAATGAATGAGAAGATGATTGACAGCACCAGAGTGTAATTGAATGGTGGGTGGAGTTAGAGTGAGTGACAGGTGAAGAGCACTTTTTCTTAAGTGACACCAAGAAAAAGTAGAGAGATCTTATAATAATAATAATGAAGAAGTTGGCAGCATGAGCTTTTGTAGACTTCGTTCTACTTCATCATATGCCATATGAACCATATGCATCTGAGGAAGCAGACTTTAGTCTACAAAAGCTCATGCTGCCAACTTCTTTCTTTCGGTTAGTCTCAAAGGTGTTACAAGATCTCTTTACATACTGATTCTACAGACTAACATGACTATATCTTTGAATTCTACCAAGAAAAAATAATTTGAGATCAAGATATTATGGAGAGAGGAGTTAGGAGGTGAAAAAGAATGATGAAGAAACAGGTGAATTGGATGGCTGTTAAAGATGGAATCAAATTGCTATTCTTCTTGGACAGCTTCTTATTTTTTAAAAAAGCTAGGCATCTTACAAATAAGTTACACACAAGTTTTAAAAACCAACGAAAATAATGTATAACATAAAGCAATAGCTCCTGACCAAGAACAAATTCTTTCTCTCTGTGTTGTGTGCGTTCAAGTGGTTTCCAACTTTGGATGACGCTCAGGTGAACCTATCATGAGGTTTTCTTGCTGAGATTTGTTCAGAGGAGGTTTGCCATTGCCTTCCCAAATCAGCAGAGGAAGAGTCAGTATGATAGAATGGTCACGACAGCAATACACTATTGCTATATGCAGGCTGGATGACTACACGGTTCCTCTTGGACCTATCAGGGAACATGCACAAAGCTCCCCCAGAGTCAAATGATGATAGGACTGCAAACTTAACACTTCATTCACAAGTTCAAGCCACAAGATAACAACCCTATACCTATCTGGGTGCCAGCCCTACTTTCTAAGCATGGGTAGGATTGTATGCTGAAGGAAAGTCCCATCAAACACAAAAGGACTTTCACTTAAGCTAGTGTTGTAGTGGTTTGAGCATTGGACTATGACTCCGGAGACCAGGGTTTGATTCCCAGCTTTGCCATGAAACCCACTGGTTGACCTTGGGCAAGTCACGAGCTCTCAGCCTCTGAACAAATCTTGCCAAGAAAACCCCATGGTACGGTCGTCTTATGGTCACCATAATTTGGAAATGACTTGAAGGCACCAGAGGTGAGGAAATTGCAACCCATGGTCCACATGTGCCTCTCAGGGCTTTTTTTTATGTCCCATGTGTCAAAAATGTGGATGATGGTGGTGGTAGTAGTGGTTTTTAAGCATTTTGCTTTTTACTCCCAAATGCCTTCTAGGGATTATGGGGTCATTTTCTCTATGTTTTTGGGCCTCAGGGAGAGGCCTTTGTCTAAAATAAGAAGTGAAAAGGAAGCGATTTTGGATCACTTCCAGTTGCTAATGGCCCAGAAGGGCCAAAATAGCAATAACAATAACAACAACAACAACAACAACAACAACAACAACAACAACAACAACAACAACAACAATAATAATAATAATAATAATAATAATAATAATAATAATAATAATAATAATAATTTTTTAAAATGCCCTCTGCCTCCAAGAGTTTATTTTTTATTTTTTGCAAGGGTATAGCCCTCCAAAGTTTCTTGGGGAGTTAATGCAGCTCTTGCCTCTTGTAATTGCTCACAAGCTAATCAAACATCCCTAGGACTGAACCACAAACATCAGCAACTTGACTATAAATCCTGATACAGCCCATTTTAATAAAGATGCAAATCATCATCAATTTCATTCTCGTAGGCAAAACCCAATAATTTCGTTTTTGCCCCTCCTACCACTATGGCAAAACCATTAAAAACTGGGCAATTTGGAGGGACTATTCACAGCTCAGGATTTATTCTCAGAACAGAATATATATGGGAAGGTTGTGTGGAAAATGGCATTTCTATACATACACAAAATTGCAATTTTCTGTGCAAGAAAACAGACGTGTGCTTGGTGCAGAACTTTGTAGATTCTTGTCCATCCAGGATTCACCTCAATAGGGTTTCCCAACAATGAGAAAACATACATACACACATGCAGATTTCAAGTGTTTTATTTGAACAAATATCCTTTCTACATGACAACTAAGAGGGCTAGAAAATTCTTGATGCCTGTTTAAAACATGGATACATTGTAGAATATTCTACTTCAAGTTTTGATTATTTGGAGAAATGGTCTGAAAGTTGATTTAACCTCTTTCTCCCCCTCAATCTCTCTTAAATATATTCTCTGATGCAGAGAGCTTAGAACATTTTCCTTCGGATTATGTATGGTTGGTAATTACTGTGACTAGCGGTAGACTCTGAACTAATTCAAAGACTAAGCTGCATGACTTTTTATACGTTAAATTAAAATCTTGCCTAATTAGGGATCTCATTAAGAGAAAGACCGGAAGAGACTCAGGTAATGTGTTTGCTCAACAGTTGCTTGAGCAGTTCTTCGGGTTTAATTCTGGCAAGATTGATCGCCGTGTTTATTTCTCATGGAAGAAATTGGATTACATAACTTGAATTTACAGTTTTTATGGTAAACAACATTAACATTATTTACTAACGGGAGGAAATACTCAGATCCCAGAAGCTGAGCTTCCAAAAGAGATGGCAGAGTGAAAAGCCTTTATCCACTATCTTAGGTTTGTCTTGATTTTTCCCCCAACTTTATTTCTTTTGATAAAAAAAATTGCAGTTAAAAAACAAAGATAGTCCATGATATGGGGCTACGCTTCCAACAGAGCATGGCATGTAGTCTACACTCCTTGGGAAATCATGTCTTCCCCTCCAGCCGTCTGTCCTTGTAGATGATCTGTTCTTTTGCAATGTTTGGCATATCTAGTTGAGGTCTAAAATTTGATGTCTGGCCGGATCAGACTTGCAACCCTGGGGATGCAAATGCTTCCAGAACAGCTGTGTCTCCTCTTGCCTTCTTACTTTTTTGTGCTTCTGCATAAATATTCCTTTCTCTACATCAGCTGAGGTGATACGCTGTTCTCAAGACACGGTTTCAAAACAGTAATAAGGGACAGTCACAATTCATGACATACAGAATTGACAGTCAGGAAATAACTATGGACAAGTCTGAGCACTGCCTAAATACCAAATGAAAGTAATATTTTCAGTTCACTTCGCTATGTTCTTCTCTGTAAAATTAGCACATTGTCCACATTCATCAATCACACGATGCACACATTTCTGTCATTATGCAGGAAAAATTCTTTACAGGATTTTTTTTTTACATCTTATCCAATCTATATAAAAAGAAAAGCTTTCTAATCCTCAAATAAAGGACTTTTCTTCTAATAAGGGACTCATAGGGTGCATCTGCAGAGCCAGTGTGGCATAATGGTTTGAATGTTGGACCCCAATTCAGGAGTTTGATTCCCTACTCCAAAATCCCCCTGGGATGTCCTTGGGCAAGTCACACACTCTCAGCCTCAGAGGATGGCCATGGCGAATCCTCTCTGAACAAATCTTGTCAAGAAAACCTCATGATAGGTTCACCTTAGGATCACTATATGTCAGAAATGATTGGAAGGCACACAACAATAACAACAAAGGGTGCAACTGCACTGTAGAAATCATGTAGTTTGACACCACTTTAACTGCCATGGCTCCCTCCTACAGAATCTTGAGATCTGTAGTTTTGTGAGGTATGAGCACTTTTGGGCAGAGAAAGAATGGCAGACAAATTTGCCCATCCATAGGGAAGTATGGACATTCAATTTATATTTGATCAGGATCCACCAAAGATTTGCAAAATTCAAGTGGGAAAAAGCTGGACTGACAGATCCTTAGCAAGAGAGATCAGTCTGGGGCAGTGTGTGAGTTTACCAAAGAAGGATGAGGATGAGGATGTGGAGCTGGCAAATTATATATGACTGTAATCCTGGTCTAGAAAATACTTCTAATTTATTTAACAAAGGGTGTATCCACACTGCAGAGTTATAGCGCGTTGATCCTACTTTTAGTGCCATGATTCCATCCTATGCAATCCTGGGGTCTGTAGTTTCATGAAACACTTGGCATTCTCTGCCAAAGAGTTCCCATGTTGTAATTCAGGGCAGTACTTGAGAACTATCAGTACCTCTCCAAACTACAAATCCCAAGGTTCCATAGGCTGGATCCATGATAGTTAAAGTGGTATCAAAGTGCTAAAATTTTACAGTTTGAATATACCCAGAGACATTTGACTATTTATTAAAGTTTGTAGGTGTATGCATTTTACTAATGTTCATAGTATATATGTATTTTATGTATTTTATGTATGCATATGAATTTTGGAATATGTTTATTTAATATGGTTATTGACTGCAATAAAACAATTGATTGATTGATTGATGTTTGACTGGAGGTTCAGACGTTTCTTGGATATCCTCTCTATTAAAAAAAAAAAATCACTGGTTGTAACTAGCTCCCATTATATTTTCTACTTAGAAGGCCACTATTAGTGATCAGTTACTTATTTTATAGGAAAAATCAACAGTTTCACAACTGAGTTGTTTAAGAAGGTTGAGATGGTTGTAAAAGAAAGCATAATAAAATATATATTCTGTTTCATTACATATATATATATATATATATTCTACAATGTAACTAGTCGTCTAAACTTTTATAGGCTACAAGCTGGAAACAGGTTGCATCCAATGAAAAATTTCTGCACTCAAAGATAAATTATATTGCTGAAGGTGGGGAGGAAAGGATGGGGGGTAAAGAGGGAGCTGAGGAAACGAAACTCATCTCTCTTGCAAAGTTAAATATCTTGATGAAACACAGTTAAATCCCTGATTGTGAATTACTCACTCTCTCTCTCTTTCTCTCTGCACTGAAGGAGCTCTTGAATAAGATGAAACACAGTACCCCAGGCAGAACAATGATGCTGTCCAAAGGAAAGCACATGCTCCTCAAAGAAGGAAACTCTCCAGAAACCAAGAAGCACAATAAAGGATCAAAGGACAGATTTTAAGGATATTAAAATCAAGTCACTGAAGAAAGACACTAATTCACAAACTGAATACGCTTGTCACTTATCAAAGATAGCACATTCCTGTGCCGGATACTTTGGGACTTGGCTGATACAAACAGATCACAGCAGGGCGTTTGGTAATTCCTTGCCAATTTAGAAGCACAAAGAGCCTGCTGTTATCTGCAAAGGTGTATGCCTTCCAACTTTTCCCAGATGAAAACCAGCCACATGACATCAAAGTGTGGCCAAGATGGAAAAAGTTAACACAAAATCTGGGATGGGCTGCAGCAGTTTGCTTTTGTCTGAGCCTCCTGGGAAGGGCAAGATTCTGGGCCTCCTCTCCTCGCTTTCCACTGAGTTGAGTACAAACAACTTTTGCGCTTTGAGCTTAGTTTGCACCAACTGAAATAATCGAGGATAAAGAGGGAAAACGGGAAGAGGAGAATGAAACTGGGACATTGTAAAAGCCACTGGGAAAATGGAACAGCAGAGGATCAATTGGGACTGGCCCTGCCAAACTGTGGCAGTTGGAGGGTATGCAGCACAAAAGTCTACAACAGTTTCTATCCTCTCCCCACGCTGTCTCACAGTTCTTTTAAAAAGCCTACTTGAATTCTCTTCTAGTAGGAGCAAATGCATAGAACACATGGGAATTATGTTTCCTGGCATGCATGCATCTATGCATGCACAGAGAAAGAAAGAGACAGAGAGAGAGTCACATAATAAGCATGGATGTCTGGAAAGAAGAACCAAACTCCCTCCAACGCTTGAGTTGTGAAGGATCTTTAGAACCGCTGTCAGAACATACATGCCCTGATCCAGCCCTTTTTGGACCATGGATGGTTGTGGGTGCCCAGTGGAAGGCTGAGAGAAGTGGCCCTCTAATGTGTGGCCATGGTTTCAGATTCTGGGACCTGCTCCTGGTTATTATGACCAGAACCTTTGGGAAGTGAACTAAATTTGCATTTCATGGGGCAGGGATGGAATGGCAGAGGCTGACTGACTGTGTGCTTTGCAGACCTTGCAAGACAGACAATCTGTTTTTGTCTGTTTGTATGCTTT